TTAGATGATCTGTTATACCTATTAGACGATTATGTTTTCAATAAAGTGTTTTAAGAAAGCTTCTAAATAGGAAGAATAAGTACATAAGTGTTTTTATACTAGTTCACTCAACCTCAAAAAACACACTTCTAACTCAAATTGACTACTCCAAACCCAAAACTAGCCATTTTAGACTACCTAAACCCACTTCTATCACTTCCTACACCAAAAGAGCAAAATAAAGGTTTAGACAAGTCCTAAATGACTCCATTACAGATCCAAAAATGTCCACTTTAGCCCAGACTCTCTAATTCAAAATCTCACTACTCTAAACCTCAATTTTTGTACTTTAACATAACCCAAAACATTACCAAAACTCATAAATGAACTACCATCTTGGTTCATAAAATAATTTTCTCAAATAACACTTCTAACAAGACTTAAATTATCTCATGACAGCACCTAGACAGTTACTTTCTAACCTCAACCTCTCTTTCTCAAACTCACTCATCCAAACCTCCCCTTTTTAGACTTAAAACTCAATAATTGACCAACTCTCACTCCAACCACTTGAATTCAGTTTTCAACCATCATATCACTTCACCATACACAATTATAACATAAGAAACATTACAATTACACACTTTCAAACATTCAAACAGGTCAAATAATACTTGATCATCATCCATACACCAAAAATATTAATGCAAACATACAATTTCACTTAATTCATATTATCATACATAGAAAATTTAAGTTTTAAAAACACACTATGAAAATTTTATACTTGTTAAAAATGACATTTTATACCGATTTTTGAGCAGGTATAGAAGTGTGGATATAGAAAATTCTCAACCTTTTACACTAGTTCTAGAATCGACATAAAAGTAATGTTCTTCTACATCGGTTCCACTCATAACAGGTATAAAAAGTCCAACTTTTTATACTTGATGATTTCCAGGACAGGTATAAAACATACTTTTATACCTATTACTTCTAAAATAGGTATAAATGTGATTTTCTATACTTGTAGGTGTTAGAACAGATTATAAAAAGTGAGATTTCTTATACATTTTTAAGGTTTAACTGGTATAAAAAACATTTTTTTTAAATACTTGATTTGTATGTGTTACTATCCATATCCAAACTTGCATAAAATTCAATAATATAATACAGTCCAAATAATCAATAACGAATATTGTTTCTATTATTAACACATTAAAATATTTTTTAAACTCAGTGTAATATTTACCTAACAAAGTTCCTAAATATATTTACCTAACATTGGTACTTAACATATAATATCTACTATTTACACATAAAAAATTTTCTAAACTCAAAATGTAATATTGAATACATCTAATCATCTGTTCTTGAACATCTTTATGATATGTTGCTCCATTGGTGAATTGTCATCAAATATCTACAAAGTGAAACAAGTATAAGATTTAACTTCACTTTAATTCTTTCTATAGATAATAGGTAAGTGGCAAGATCTATCTTATATTAGGTATTTTATTTATTCGGAAAATATTAATTAATAAAATATTATAGTATCACAAAAAGAAACAAAAAAGATAAACAGTAATGGAAAATACACTAAATGCCTAATAATCAATATATCCCAATGAGTGGAATTTTAACAACGCAACATTAATCTTGATTAGTATCAAACAAAATGATTTCTTTGTCTTGATTTCATCAAGTAAATGAAAGAACCATATGCATATGAAAAATTAAAGAGGTAAACATCCAAAATAAAATAGATTAATAGAATGAGCTAAATGTTTGATTGAAATATAAATCAGACTATAAACAATCTGAAGTTCACTATTTTTTCATGCTCATTTTAAAGCTGGCGGAAAGGAATCAAATTTCATAATCATATATGTACATATGTATAGTGTTAAGCATTTTAGTAATTAATTAGGATAAGGATACTTGGATTCATCCATATATCTCTAATTTTTGTCATTATTCAACAAAACTTGTTGTCATTATTCAATAAAACCCATTCATGGCAAGTGTGATGGATTGTCTCCGTGATTCCTAAAACAATTTAAAATCCACAAAAGTGATACAATCTAATTTCTACTTTACCCGGTAGCTTCTCAAATAAGAGTTTCATTTCATCACAATTATTTCTTCTTAATAAAATAGAATTTTGTCTTAACAATATTTCAAGTAATTACATGTCCATGAAAACCCTCTGTTTCTTTTCTAATCAAATTTGGAAAAGCTATACATATCACTTGCACAACCCATGTGCTCAGGAACCATAGACCTTATTACGATTCACTTGTTAATAACTTAATATTCAAAATATAAATAAAGAAAACATAGCATAACAATAACAATATGTAATGGCTTTCCTTACCTCACAACAAACAGTCTGACTCAAAAAATGTTCCATCGATTGCTTGAAACACAAGAAATTTCTAGACGAACCTACGAAACACCAAATTGGAAGCGGATATAGTCTTTAAAACTCTTGATTAACCAAGAATGACTAGAAGAAGCATGATCACACATGCAATGACCATTCTTTCTTCTAAAAATAGATTAGGAGCGAGAGAGGAAAATGAATTGAAACTTACTTGCTCTATTACGAGAATTTATCGGCTAGAAATGTAGACCTCGTCGTCGAGATCATCTGTACACCTCCTGATCGACAAAGAGATGACTTCTTAGAGAGAAGGTAGAAAACTCTAGAAAAGTAGTTTCCAGAAATAGTAATAATTCATTTAATATTAAAATAACCGAGTCTCACTATTTTTAAATCACCTATTCCTAATTTATATGTTTTAAATCTATTTTTTTTACATAATAAACTTAATTTCATAACTTTTAAAATAATTATAATAATTACAAATAAATAGTATTCTTTTACATTACATTATATTAGATAAATATAGCCTTACTAAAAAAATTATGTACCACTACTTTTAGAAAGAAAAGTCATTTAGTTATTTTAAAATAATTTTTTTATTCAATTATTTATTTATTAATTAAATATATTACTTTTTATTTATTAAAGATGACAAAAAAATTATTAGTGATATCTCTCAATATAATGATGATATAGATAATATATAATATATAATTATTATATATAGTATATATCTATTTTACTTATTTATTATTTAAATGATTTTTATTTTTTTAAATTTATTATCAGTGAAAAATGTAAATTTTATAATTTCTCGTGTCCTTGCGTAATCAACTATGTCAGCACGAAATGGGTTAAAAAAGAAAAAATAATGTTACTGCAAAACAGATTCCTACGGAAAAATGGTATATATGGAAAAGAGTATATGTAGTATTCATGTTTTTATTTTTTGGTTTAATAGCCTTTTTGTCCCCACTTTCATTGGATAATGCCAATTCAGTTCTCATTTATAAAAGTGTTTGAAATATGTCCACAATTAGTAAAATTTGCGTTAAATTTGTCCCTTCCGTTAAGTATAACCAAACACGACGTTAATAGATTGATGATCTGGCACCATACGTGTCAATACATTGTTTTGTGCGTGCTTACGTGTAACTGACTTACAAAAAATATGGTGTTTTATTCAAATCGGGTCCAAATTTTGAATCAACCACAGTCCAACCTTGTCGGAGCCATCGCGACACCCATTGGTCGCACCCATTAGCTCCCTCTTTCATTGTCGCAAACTTGCATCACCACCTTCAACCTGAACCCAAAAATGTGAGAATTAGAAACCCTAAATGCAAGAACCCTAACTCCAAAATCAGGAAAGAAAGAAATAGAATTGCAAGAGAGAAATCAGGAAAGAAACCCAAAATTTGAAAGAAACCCAAGAGAGAAATCAAGAAGAAATAGAATCTCAACCCAAGAGAGAAATCAGGAAAGAAACCCATAATTTGAAAGCCCTAAACAGTGTTTCCCTTGCCACAACACAGACAACCACCGTCTTAGGCAGAAACCCCATGGCCACTCCATATTCAACCCCAACAAGAACAAGAATTGCAAGAACAAGAATTGCAAGATCAAGATTACAAGACCAGAAACCACATAAATCAATTTGGAACGAATCCCTACCTTCCAATTGAGAAAACTCAGATATCAAAACAAAAACATCTAAAATCAAAGAGGAAAATAAAACCCCAATTTCAAAACCCAAATTGCAAGAACGATTTGCAATCACAGAAACCCTAAATTGCAGAATCTAGGAATGAAAACCCCCAAAATCCGAGAACAAATCAAAACCCTAATTGCAATTTCAGAATAGGAGGAGGAGGAGGATTGCGCCGCGAATCAAAACCTGCAGAACAGGGAACCAAAATCATCTACCCCAAAACGCTAGCCTCACGCGACAACAGAGAATCCAAAAATCTCCAAATGAAACCCTCGCCGCAACACGCATATGCCCTCTCCGTGAAACGCAGAAGCTTTCGCCGTGCTCTCGCCGTACCTCCGCCAAGCAATAGTCGTGCCTTCGCCGCGCCTTCGCTCTGTCATTGTCGGCGTGAAGTCGTTGCCTAGGCTCAAGACGTAAATCATCCTCGCCCCAACATTGGGTCGTCTGTGATGGAGAGAAAAACAGAAATTTCAAGCTCCTAGCTCGAGTGTGATGAGGGAGAAAAAGAAAGGACAGAATGAGCCACTTAGTGTGACCCCTCGAAGGAATAATGCCACGTAAGCACTATATGTTGCCATATCATCAATCCATTAACACCGTTAGTATTTTTTTACGGAATTGATAACATTGGCACAAAATTTTCTAATTAAGAATCAATTAGACGTTACTTTTAAACCAAAAACTTAATTGATATAACCGAGCAAAACTAAGGACAAAAGAGACTATTAAGCCTTATTTTTTTATTTTAATAAATCTAAATTTAAGGCTTATATTAAATTTAATATTAAATAGATATAAAAGTAGGCATTCTTGGTTACTTAACTAGTAGAAGAATTTATTCTAAAAAAGATGAAGTATTTTATATTTATTTTATTTTATGATCCTATCCTCTGGGAAATGAAAAGGGATATAATAAGCGTGGCATTTTATCTTACACAAACTCTCTCAGTGTGAAGTGAAGCTTTAACAATGGCGGCAGTGTTGGAAGCGCCGTTGGCAACTTCACTGTTTTCTTCAAAGCCTCACAACACTAATTTCCCTCCCAAGTTTCACACTTTTCCCTCTAAATCCACTCTTCTTACACTTCGCAATACGCACCCTCATTCTTGCGTGGCAAATGCTTCTCCTCCTCAAGACCCGGACCCAGCTTCCGATCCTCAACCCGACCCGAACCGTGACCGCCGGAGAATTGTTCGGGTCGCCTGGGAGAAAATACTCCGTTGGTCCCGCTCTTGGCGCTCCAAGGCCAACACTGACATCCTCCAACGCACCAATAAGGTTGCAATTTATTTCAAATTATGATTGGATCAAATAGAAGAAACTGTCACACATTTTTGGCTTATCCCTTCATTGTGTTCAAATACTGTTTAAGATTTTGTGAACGACTAGATGTCATGTTATATCTGATCGAATACTTCGGACAATTGACTAGCTCCTTTGGAGCATAGTTGATTATTGTTGTGAGTATTGAAAATGATTAAATTAATAATAAAGTAAAAGCTAAGCTTTTACTGTCTTGGTTATTTTCTATTCACTAATCAAAATATTTTTTATTTTATTTTCATGTAACTAACTATTTCGATTGATTTTACTAAACAAGACATGACATAGTCATTATTTCCATCTTCTCGTGTCTAATTCGTTGAATCAACTCACTAATTCCCTCTCTAATCTTCTTTAATTTGTTGGTCATATGAGAGTTTAACAGCTTTAGTGACAGAAAAATGAATTGGTCAGTGAATTTGAGACAGCCAAAACCAAAGTAAAATTTTTGTCATTTTTCTTCTTGACGGTATAATCAAACAACAAGCTAATTAGAAATAATTAAATTTATGATGTGTTTAAAACTTAATTAAGCTAAAAGAAAATATAACAAACCTTTTACTCTCTTCCTGTGATTGTATGTCTGAATGTTGGTAACGTGATATAGTGTTTGCGAGTTTCGTGCTGGTGTGTTGTGTGGTAGTGGTGCTGAGAGGTTTGTTTTTTGGGTGAGAAAAGGTGGTTGTGCTCGGAGGGGGGTCGTTTGGGACGGCAATGGCTGCACATGTAGCAAACAGAAAGGCTGAGTTAGAGGTGAATATGCTGGTTCGGGACCCTCAAGTTTGCTTGTCTATCAATGAGAACCATTGTAATTGGTAACCTTTTTTTGTCTGTGCTCATAGTCTGCACAAGTACAGGATAACTTGTGAGTTGTGGTAATCTAATTATGTTATCTGTATGTATCTCTCTTATGCGACTGTTTTTTGTATTCTTTTGTTGGGCAGTAAGTACTTTCCAGATCATAGGCTTCCAGAAAATGTAGTTGCCACGACCGATGCCAAATCTGCTTTGCTTGGTGCTGATTACTGCCTCCATGCTGTACCTGTTCAGGTCATTTCAATTTGTTGGTTATTTTTTACTTTGCCATCATTGCTTATTAGTATAGAACGTATATAGGTCTTTGGGTAAACTTCTCTCCATAAAAGAAAATATAAAACAAAATGAATCAAATGTTTATTCATTAGTTAAAATCAATGACATAACGGTTTGAATAGAATTCAACATAAATACATGTAGAAGACGAAAATGGAAAAAATAATCAAACTTTTATTGTTTTTTCTTAAGTTAAAATCAATGTATTTTTGTAATTTTTTTAAAAGCTAGAGGAAGAGATTTTCTTAAAAGACGAAGTGCATAATTTGATTTTAACTTACGAGAAAATATTGATTTTATTTTTTTGTTTTCTTGCCTTATGAGAATTTCTGGATAAGCTTATTCATATTAGTCGTTAATGGTAGTATGATGTTTCATGAAGTTTGAACCATTCCTGTCAAATGCAAAACGTATGCTGACTATTAGGTTTTGACATTTGTAAAAGACATGACTGTCTAATTCTTTGTTTCTTCTTTTGCAGTTCAGTGCATCTTTTCTCGAGAGTGTTGCAGAGTATGTTGATCCAGGCTTGCCATTCATTTCTCTGAGTAAAGGCCTAGAGCTGAATACACTGAGGATGATGGCTCAAATTATTCCACAAGCACTACGAAATCCTCGCCAACCTTTTGTTGCACTATCAGGGCCTTCTTTTGCTCTGGAATTGATGGATAAGCTACCAACAGGTAACAATGATGTTGTTATAAGTGTGCGCACATTTTGTTTCTTTGATTGTATCTATGATGAAAGTCAGTCAAATTTGTCTTTTGGTTTCATTGTCTAATAACAGCAATGGTGGTGGCATCAAAAGACAAAAAATTGGCAAATACAGTTCAGCAGCTACTATCTTCAAGTCATTTAAGAATCAGCACATCAAGGTAGATGACCTTCACTTGATTCATACATGAAATTGAATATGTAAATGGTTTGCTTTCATTTCTGTCTGGATTTCTGTTCACCCTTCTGAACTAGTTTGTCTTTCTCTTTAGTATACACTTTCTCCCATCCTATTATTATGTCCTACCTTCTGTTTGTATTATGTATGGTATATTGGTGCAAAAGTTCAGCTTGTAATCTCTGATAACTCCAGTGATGTTACAGGAGTTGAAATAGCAGGTGCACTCAAGAATGTGCTTGCAATAGCTGCTGGGATAGTAGAAGGTATGAATCTTGGTAATAACTCAATGGCTGCTCTTGTCTCGCAAGGTTGTTCGGAGATACGGTGGCTTGCAACAAAGGTAGTTGACCTCTATTAAGTCAGTTCTTAGAATTCTTTGCACATGGTAGAAACTGTCCTCTTCCCTTTTTCTGTTCGGGGTAATCATTCCATGGAGGACTAAATTGCTTTCCTCTTAAATGACTGTCTACTATCAACACTCTGACTAACAGTAAGATCAACACTTTATGCAATGTCTAATTTGCTGAAGGCAGAGAGTAAATGATGCATATAATGGAATGTTAGGGAACTAATTGTATATAGTAGAAGGAGAAAAGTTACCAGCCTAACTGCCAAGGCAGTTAGGAAAGTCAGTATAAAAGGGGTGGGTTGGTTGGTGAGAGGATAGTTTTGGAGTATTATTGTTTTGCGGAACTCTTGTAGTTCTTTGGAGAGAGGTTAAGCTCTCGGGTTACGTTGTAACACCATTCTTGTTGATTCGTTTCAATAAAAGGAGGCTGTATAATTCAGAGTACCTGTTTTGTGTTGTGTTTCTAGTGCTATTCATAGGTTCTTGATAAAAAGAACTTATCATAATGGCTCACACAGTACGGAGAATAGAGTTCTGATGGTTTATGGACATTTCAATTGAGATCTTGGTTATGATGATATATATATGTATATATGTATATATATATATATATATATATGTATATATATATATATATGTGTGTGTGTGTGTATATTACTTAAATACATAATAGTAGACACCTACATTGGGGTACACATGCACATTTTCTTCCTGTAAGTGGGCTGAACTTAACTTATAATGAAATATTTCCAATCCATCCCTTTATATCAAGGATTGAATATTTTGAATACGTGACTAGATATTTTTTGGTGTCCAATAGGAGGTGATATACAAGCCAAACAAACCTTGCTAGAATAGATTTTGATATCATCTTAAAATGTATACTTTAAACCTGATTTAATTTTATAAAATCGGTTTTTACGATAAGATTTACATTCACTTATGTTTACATTCACTTATATACTCTAAGTGACTAGAATTTCTAATATCCCAACAAAACTGATGGTGCTTTCTGCCTATCTTGTTTCTCTTCCCTCAAATTATCTCTTGAAGATGGGTGCGAAACCTACCACAATAACTGGTCTGTCAGGAACTGGAGACATAATGCTTACATGTTTCGTGAATCTTTCAAGAAACAGAACAGTTGGTGTGCGGCTTGGATCAGGTGAGAAGCTTGAGAACATACTCAGTTCCATGAGTCAGGTATCTAAGAAGTTTCCAAGAGCATCTGATCATTCCAAAATTTCTAGCTTGGGGCATAGTTTCTAAAATGTTTATCCTTATTCTGCAGGTAGCAGAAGGTGTCTCCACAGCCGGAGCTGTGATTGCTTTGGCACAGAAATATAATGTAAAGATGCCAGTCTTGACTGCGGTTGCTCGTATTATTGATAATGAACTTACTCCTAAGAAAGCTGTTTTTGAGTTAATGAGCCTCCCTCAGGTTATTCTGACCCTCCTTTAAGAGCAACTATATTTGTTCAATATTGAGATTACACATTTGATTGATGACAAATTTTCATTATAGGTTGAAGAAGTATGAAGCCTTTCAGCACATCCCTTATCTACTAGCTGCTTATAAGAAATTCATGTACTCAATTCTTTTCACCATTGTGCTTCTAGTGCTGAAGGCTTGGTGAGCAAAATTTTGAACATTCGGGGTTGTTGCCCCATACATTCATTAGATTCTAGATAATGCAAATCTCACCTCAATATATACTTCTTTACAATGACTATAGTTGGAGCAACGAATTTGCATCACTATGATGAATGTCATTTCTTTGTGCAACTATCTCATTGATATGAACATTTTTACTAGCATCTTTGCCCAAGTTGGTGATTTTTGTCTTGTCTTTACCCTAAGTATTCTCTAATCATAACTTTGTGTGTAGCAAAATAGGGTTGGACAAAATAAATAGATTTAAAACAATAAAAGGCTTTATTGAACTAGAAATGCGCTTTGTTAGAATCAAACTGAATGGTATGAATAAAACCATGTTTGAAACTGCTTAAAACTGAATTATTTTATAGACTACATTCACTTGTCTAAATTATTATACCTCCACCGATACTATATATATATATATATATATATATAGGCATTGAAATTTTCAAGCAACTGTTTAGACTATGCTATAAACTTCCTTCCTGAATTGAGGATTCTAATTCCCTTTTATGGTAATTTGATAAACAATGGTTTGATGATAATTTTTTCTCTTGTTATTTTGAAAAACAAACTATTTAAGTAAACTACTTTAAGAAATTTGTTTCTGTCTACATATAAATTATTACTTTTTTTCAAATTATGCATATGAAATTTTAATTGTAATGATTTAGTTAGTGTAGTTTGTATGATCGTAAAAGATTTTATTCTTAAACTACACGGTAATCAACAGGTGTTTTCTTGTTACCTTTTCTTATTACCTTTTTATACTTACAAGTGTTGTGTTTCAAAATTTAATTCATTCAACAAGTTTAGGAGAATATCCACCGCATTAAGCTATCGAAACTTTAAACGAACAATCTAGTTTTTTCAAATCACGTAGTTTTATGTTCGGCTGTTACTTTCTGCACCTCACTTTTTCTCTTCCTGCATCCCATAAGTTGTATATTCTCATTCTACCCTTTATTAAAAATATTAAAAATCTTAATTTCACATTTTCTTTCCTTCCTTGCGCAGCAAAATACTCTGGACCTTCTTCTTTTTGTTTTATTTTCTTATTTTTTCCAAATTCCACCACTCTATATGTGACGGGAGGTGAAAGATTGAAGGAGAAAAGAAATTTCGAAAAAAATAACGGTGAGGAAGAAGTTGTTTGGATTATTTAAAAAAAAAAACTTTCGGAAATAGATTTTGGGTGTTTCCCTCCACCACCACACCTTTCTCCCTCCACCTCTCCAATTTATTTTAATTCCAATTATATCCTTAGATTAAAATTTTTTACTTTTACTATTTTAATTTATTTCAAACCTAGTTCTCCTACTTTACTCCTGCACACAATCTTTAAATCTCTCATTTTCGTTTAATAATTTGTCTTTCGTTTTACTCTGCAACCCAATCTGTCTTCTCCGTTTCACTTCTCCTCCTCTGTTTCTTTCTTCTTCATTTTCCTTACATTATTAAAATACATTAAAAATATATTCAAAAATAATAAATCAAAACATTTAAATTAAATTATTAAAATATTTCCAAAATAAAGAATAAACTAATAAAAGGAACCCTAAAATAAAAAACGTAACTTTTAAACGGAGGTGACATCCTTCAACGGATGTCAACATCCGTTTAAGGAAAAACGAATGTCGACATTCGTTTTACCTTAAACGGATGTTGACATCCGTTGAAGGATGTTGACATCCGTTGAAGGATTTTGACATTCGTTGAAGGATTTTGACATCCGTTGAAGGATGTCTTAAAGGTTACGTTTTTTATTTTAGGGTTTTATTTGAAGATTAATTTGAATACAAACCTTAAGGAAGCAACACACACTGCACCACTCCACACACTGCACTACGAGAGCGACACTACACCACGAGAGGGAGACTGCTTGATAATTATTTACACAACCACCAACCTTTGAAAATTGTAAAAGAAAGAGAGGAAGAAATATAATGTTAAAATGAAAGAAAAATATTTTACTCATGTACGGGACACTATAATAGGTTATTAGTGGAATAGGTTGTGAATGGATAAAATTAAAAAATAACCTTGAAAATAAAATTTTACTTAGGGGTAAAATAGTAAATGAGAGGTGGAGGGAAAAAGGTATGGTGGTGGAGGGACCAACACCCACAGGTTTTTTGGAAGGTATTTTAAAATCTATAAATTATTTTCGGAACATCCATTTTATAATATAATTTATTTTATATTACAGAATCATTGTTCCATAAAGTATTTTCAAATTTGGAATATAACAAGAAAATCTAGAATAAGTGTTTCATAAGATATTTTCTAGAAAATGTCTTCCGAAATGCATATCATGACCTTTTTTTATATTTCAAAATGATTGTTTAAAAAAATATTTTTTAAAACAATTATTATGAAGTATAAAAAATAAGTTACAAAAACAAGTTTTTCAGAAGGTATTTCATCCGAACTTTTTATATTTTAAAATCCAAAAATACCTTCTAAATCACTATTCAGGAATATATATAAAACTATGTTCTGAATTTTCTTTTTCTTTTGTATATAACACAGGCAACTTCAACTTTCTTTTTTCTTTCAACCTTTCGCCTCCCATCACACTTCAAGCGAGGATTTCACCTTTAATCCTGCACAATTTTGGGTAAGAAGAAGAAAATGAAGCAAGAGGAAAGAAGATGCAGGATAATTAGCTGTGGAAAGAAAGGGAAGGGAATATGAAATTAGAGTTTTAGGATTTCTATTTTGTTTTTATTAAAAGGTGAAACGGGGATATTATAACTTATGGGGTGTAAGAAGAAAAAGAGGAAGATAGGAAGTATCGACCTTTTATGTAAAACTGATCAATTTTATTTGGATTAATTTAAGAGTTTTATTTCCTACACCCTAAAACTTTTTATTGCACCCCATAATTCCGAACACCTGGATCTTCTTTCTGACATGTTCTCATTGCATTCAAACGCTTGGATCGTCTGGACCGCTCGCTTGTCGACTGAAGCATTCGACCATCGCCTACTCCACTCGGTTGTCACCTGCTTCGATTGATTGCACTCTTGACCAGAGGGGGAGGTACCTGCAAAAGGCGCTCTGACGCTCAAGTTAGGAGCGGTTTAATGAACTGTTTATCACAATTGAATATTTGAGTCTTGTAGAGTGTGAGTCGGACATAAGTGAAACGTACTTGGCTTTTGTCCCTGTCATTGTATTTATAAGTATTTCATAAACCAAATAACAACAAACTTACTTGGAGATTCGGTTAGTTACTCATAAACGGCTTATCAATATCTTTAATCAGATATCTTTGGTTATTTTAAACGTTGGCCGAATTATGGCCCAACATTGATGTAGAGGATGGACCGAGCGACCCTGAGTGGATGGATCGAACGGTGCTGAGTGTGAACCGTTTGGTCCATACTGTATACCATACATATGGCTCCCAAGTCCGAGTTAACCGTTTGGCTTTAGCTAACGTTAACTATAGGACTTATATGAGCCTGAGAGAGATCTTTCCCATTGTATTGGGGAGGTTGTTCTAGTACGAACGACATATTCTAGGTCGAGAGGCGACTAATTGGAGTTCTTTTTAGAACTTTTCCCATGTTGAGAAGGGGCACTGTAAAACCGAACAATCGATCAAGCGAAACAACTTGTTATTTGATTAATGAGCGTCAGAGTGCGTTCCTCACCGCTTAGGTATATGGACAAGAGTAAGAGTACAAGGAGAATGTTCCTCACCGCTTGTTTTGGACCAAGAGTTTTTCGGATAACATCCCTGGATTTTGTTTGCGAGAGTGACAGTTCGTTGAGAACTTTTATCACCGCCCGGTTTGGACCAGGAGGTTTTAGGATAACGTCCCTGGGTTTTGTTTACAAGAGTGATAGTTCGTTGAGAACTTTTATCACTGCTCGGTTTGGACTAGGAGTTTTTTTGCTAACGTCCCCGAGTTTTGTTTACAAGAGTGACAGTTCGTTGAGAACTTTTATTATAAGTACGTAAGTCATGTCAAAAGAATTTAATCGAAACAAAACATGATATCAAAATTCAACTAAAGTAAACTTGAGATGAGTCGCATTCCACGTGTTGTGAAGGACTTTTTATTATATTTTCTAGTTGATATGCCCTTGAACTGAGCGGTCAGGGCTATGACTGCGGCTGCGACTTCGCCTGTGTCTTCGTTCCTCTTTTATATCTGACCGTTCGGGACTTCTCCGTGGAGACCTCTTTCTTTACGGACTTCTGACTTGTTCTTTCTATTGCTTCTCATATTTACGAAGATTACCCTCCCAGATAAGCTTCTCGAGGTCATCTTTTAGTGTTACACACTCTTGAGTAATATGTCCCAGGTTCTGATGATATTGGCAATGCTTCCTTCCATCCGTATTTCTAGGTGTAATAGCAGTTTTGACCGAGAGGAGGTCAACACTAAGGGTTTCATTCAGAATTTTTGCTCTTGGCACATTGAGAGCTATATAGTGAGTAAACCTAGGCGTTCGGGAAAAATCCTTCGAACGAGGAACCTTATCTTTCTCGTTACTGCCTGCAGAAGCTTCCTGCTGTTGTTTCTTCCTTAAGCTTCTCATGTCCTTAATACGAATAAACTTATCTACTCTTTCCTGAAGTTCATCCATATTTTTTTGTGGTCGCCCTTATAATTTTTCAGCAAAATATCCTGGCCTCAGCATGAAGGTAAGTTGTTGATGATAAAAGTGTGATTAACATCTTGAACTCGTCGTGTGACTTCATTATACCTTTTCATAAAGGTCTTAAAAGTTTCCTCCTTCTCTTGTTTGGTATTTACCAATTCCTCCGGTGTTATCTCCTGTCTTCGGTTAGACGCGTATTGTCTTTTAAAGAGAGTTTCCACAGTAGCGAAACAATCCACTGTATTTGGGGGAAGAGTTTTGTACCATTTCAGTGCCTCCTCCTTGAGTGATAACAAGAAGGCTCTTCATATGACCATATCACTGTCCGTGTAGAACATCATTGCGTTGGTGAAGATCCTGAGATGATCATCCGGGTGAGTCGAGCCATCATACTTCTCTAATGTTGGAGGAGTTTTTTCTGTCATAGGAGTCTGCATGATGGGCGTCGTGAACGAAAGTAAATTGGTAGGCCAAACGGTTTGCAAGGGCGTTGGCTCCCTTCTTCAACGACCGTTTGGGTTGGTGTGATTATGACTTGCTTCATTGCCATTCTCGCGGTCGTGATTCAGATTGGCTGTCAACACCGAATGCTGGGCGAATTGCTCATGACGACCGCATTCGGCCCCTAGTTCCACAATCTCCTCTATGTGCTTCCGTTGCATCTCCAACAATTGTGCTTGCACCTGCGCTTGCATCTATGCCTGCATCTCTCTTATATGCTCTCTGGTGCTTTATTCCTTCGACATATTTCTCGTGGTCACCATTGGGTTTCTTCTGCTTGTTCTCGGCCCCACGGTGGGCGCCAAAATGTTTCGGTAGGGATTTGTGCAGGACCGAGAGATTAACCTTTCCGACACGTTCTTCTTGATTCTGAACACCTAGATCTCCTTTCTGACGTGTTCTACTTGCGTTCGAACACCTAGATCGTTTGGACCGCTCGCTTGTCGACTGCTCCGTTCGACCGTCGCCTACTCCACTCGGTTGTCACCTGCTCCGATCGGTTGCATTCTTTACCGGAGGGGGATGTACCTGCAAACGGCGCTACGACGCTCAAGTTAGGAGCGGTTTAATGAACTGGTTATAATAGTTGAATATTTGAGTCCTGTAGAGTGTGAGTCAGACGTAAGTGGAACGTACTTGGATTTTGGCCCTGTCATTGTATTCATAAGTGTTTCATAGACAAAATAACAACAAACTTACCTAGAGATTTGGTTAGTTACTCATAAACGACTTATCAATATCTTTAATCAGATATCTTTGGTTATTTTACCGTCTTACTAGACCTTTGGTCCAACAATAATAACTTAAACGCTGACGCAATTATGGCCCAACATTGATGTAAAGGATGGACCGAGCGACCCTGAGTGGATGGACCGAACGGTGCGGAGTGTAAACCATTCGGTCCATACTGCAAACCATACATTACCTTTTTTTAAAAGTGATTTCCTAAATTACCTGTTTTGAAACATTTTAAAACAAGCTTTCTAGTATTTCTACTTTGGAAGAATATTCCCAAAATAGAATTTTATAACAAATTTTTTGGAATATATGAAACACATTTTGAAATAGGATTTGTAAAATAATCTTCAATCTGCTTTTTGAGCTTAGCTAGCTCTGCTGGAGCCATTCGGTATGGTGCAATAGAGACTGGTCCAGCTCTAGACACCAGGTCAATAGAGAATTCCACTTCTCTTAGAGGGGGTAATCCTGGAATCTCTTCAGGAAAAAAACATCCATAAATTCGTTCACAACCGATCGGTCTCCATTTTGCTTTCCACTGACCGAACGGTCATATCCCAACTCCTCTGGTACTATGTCTGCGTGCGACATTACCAGAAAACAGCTAGCACCCTCCATTATATCTATCCTTAACTGGCCTACTATCAAGGACAATTCTTCTTCTTCACTAGGAAATATTAACTTCTTCTTGCCGCAATCTATGAGAATGTGATTGACAGCTAACCAATTCATTCCTAAAATTACCTCTAAGCCTTGTAGAGGTAAGCATATAAGGTTTACTTTGAATCTACGCCCTTCCACCTTAATCGAACATCTAATACATACAGTAGAAGTCCTAACCTCACTAACTACTGGGGTTGACACCACCAGATCAAACTGCATATCACTCACCGACAACCCCAACTTCTCAACACATGCCTTTGAGATAAAGGAATGTGTTGCCCCCGAGTCAAACAACACACAACATGGCAATCCATATAACAGGAAAGAGCTGGTGATGAGTTTACCTGAGCTTGCTGCTTCAGCCCCAATTATAGCATATACCCGACCGACCGCTTGTGCTCGACCACCACCCCTCTGTTGAAACCTCCCAGCATTCGGCGGCCTCATCGCTGCTCCTCTTCCCAAGTTGTATTCTTTCTCCCAATGCCCATTCTTGTTGCACCGAACACAAAACTTGGAGTTGCTCAGCTGAGGGCACGCAGACTTGTAATGGGGTCCTCCACATATAAAACAAACCACTGACCCTTACTGCCCAGATTGACCGACCGGTCCTGATAGCTGAGAAGATGAACCCCGCAAGTTATTACAAGACGAAGGCCGAGTATAAGGAGTTTTCCTTAAACCCGTACTGTTTCTAGAAGAGATTGGTCCTCTAACAGTCTGGTGTTGTTGCTTCTTTTGTTATTCTACCTTAAATACATTCTTCTCTAACACCTTGGCCCTCTCCACCAACGTAGAAAAAGACTTGATACATAGACCTGAGATCAGTAGTTTAAGATCACTTCTCAACCCATTTTCGTACTTCTGACAATGTCACTCTTTACTTGTAGCCATAGTATTAAACCTCACTAAATGCTTGAATTTATCTGTATACTCGGATATAGACATTCCTCCTTGAATCAGCTGAAGGAATTCTACCTCTTTAGCGTGCCGAACGCTATTAGGAAAATACTCTTCATAAAACTTGTTCTTGAAAACTTCCCAAGAGATGAAAATATTACTATCTTCTAAGATCAACCTCATACTATTCCACCAATGACTGGCCTCTCCAGTCAAAAGATATTCAGTAAACGCCAATCTATTATCTTCGGGACACCTCTTAGCATTGTAGATCCTCTCCATATCACGCAACCAATGATCAGCTTCGTCAGGCATACACTTTCCGTTAAACTTTGATGGATGATGTTGGAGAAAGCTGTCTAAGCTCCACTCGGTTTGATGATTAGAAGTGGCAGAGGACGATCCAGCTGTATTCCTATTTGTGGATATTATTTCCATGAGTTCCCTTTAGGTTGCCTCTGAATTTTCTCTAGCAGCCTCCAAACTCTGTAACGCCAATGTATTTTGTTGGACTAAGACAACGTTCTGTTGCTATAGAGCCTCTATCACTGATTCCAACAACCTAGTGTTGTCAGATGGATTCCGATCGGCAGATATAGGAGGAGGAGGTCTAGGAGCCATCTTCTCTGATTAACAGAGAAAAAGAACCATCAATTTAATCTAGAAAGTCAGAAACACTAATTACCAAACACTGAGTACATAGCAAAAGCATAGTATACTCATAACCTACAGTATTTCTAAGTAACAAAACTGCTCTGATACCATTAAATGTAACATCCCAAAAATACAGTATAAAACCATACTATAGAATATTCACATATTAACAATATTACAGTTCAGTTCTGAAAGAGAAGGGGGTACCATTATGGCCGAACGACCTTACAATAATACTTCAGAATTTAAAATTTTACTAAGCCAAAGTCTAGACCAAACAGTTTCAGAAACTAAGCCTAAACCGAATGGTTATACACAACACATTATCTAACACTTGCGAACAATCTATGGTTTGGTCTTAACTTCCACTTCTTCTAGAGCCTCTTCTAGCAACTCTTCTCCTTATGTTCACATCTACAGGATAATCATTGCAACATAAAACGACAACAAGAAGGACAAAACAGACAAGACAGGAAATATGGTAAGCTTATGTAATTTAATTAATTCAATACAACATATAATTCATATCAATCTGATATAATTCCATAATTCAATCAATCCACTAATCACACATTAAAGCATGCAATGAACGACCACATTGACTCTGATTGTCCGGACTGTATGAATTCTGTGTAGCTACGACGTTTTTGCACCCGGGTGATGTAGTAGCTGAAATGTCTCATCAGTTGCTACCCGAGGTTAGTCCGTTCTTACATCGCCCATCTTAATCTTATGGACTAGGACCTCCTACCATTCTCACACATGATTTACTCCTCTCTACTTGAGAATGAGTAATCATAGAATATCAAGATAAACGCCACCTTAGCATGACCACATTCATACTTTACCATTCCATAACAAATCCTGAGATATTCTTCCCTGGAATACTCTTTCATATCCATACCATTCAAATTATATCATACTTTAAAGTCATCATACTTCACATTAAATTCCTCATTCATCATGATTAATCATCAACATAGTCATACCAATTCCAGAAAATAATATCCCATCTTAGAAACAAAACCGAATGAGAGAATATTGCTTAGATTATTATAACCGAACACTTAGTGTAAGACCGAACGGTCTTTCACTTATCCAAATAATAGGACCGAACGGTCCATACGAGACAAGACTAGTTATAAGCCTATCACTTATAACAATAGTAAGGAAAGACTAAAGGATACGCAACAACTCTGACCGAAAGGTCTTTACTAGACAAAATTCAAGGGAAATGTATAATAATATATAACACATATAATTGAACATAATGGAAGATGATGAAAGTTTGTTATTTGAAACCTAAGAGTTTAAATCAAACACTACCAACTAGACCGAACACTTTGTTTAATGTCGAACACTAATGAGACCGAGCACCTGGTCTATGACCGAGCACTACAAAACTTATTCAATGAAAGAATATTTCTAATCATAATTACATATGACTTATTTTCAACAAGGATAAATATCATATTTAAGAATTTAGGTATTATTGAATATCTTAACGAAGCTGTTTTAAGAAGTGCAAAGGAGAGACTATACGTAGACCGAACGCTCATTTACATATATATAATAATATAAAATCGATCGGTCATTAACTAAATTCTCTACAAAAGAAGAATTTAGTTTAGACCAAACACTCAAAGGAAAACCGAACGGTCAATACTGACTCTCAGTGTCAAACATAGGATTATACAGAAAACTGCAGATTGATGATCAAACTCTACTCAACCCAGTCTACCTCAGTTATAAATCATCCACTCATATGAACAACATACAGTAACACCAATACTTCATATTCATCAAATAATCAAACCAACATACAACCATTCAGAACAAAAATCATAATCAAATTATATAAGCTTCCCTTACCTCTTAAGCTTAGCCGAACTCACAGTTGTAGAATCAAGCTCACCACTACACAATCTTATGCACCTAGAGTTTCCCAATTTACGAAACAGCTCAAACCAGCAACTTGATCGGTGCAAAGTGAAACTCTTAGCACCAAGAAGACTCAGACGTGGTCTGATTGAAGATTGGAGGAAGAAAAGGGTAACATTTTGTAGAGAGAATAAGAAAATCGTAGAGAGAAGGAGGAGGAAATGAAGAACTCAGAAGGTTGAAGAAGATGAGTGCATGCAGAAAAGTGACACCAATTTTGAAAACTTAGCTTATAAACTACCGTCAAACCAATAGTCCATTCTGCAGCTCACACCTGTCTTTTACTTTCTGATTTTCAGAAACCCTTGCACCTACACGTGTCTTCCACTAATATGAGGTTTTAAGGGTTCTGATATTACGATTCATTATATAATACGATTTACGATTCAAAATTTAAACACCGTCATAAGTGATACGATTTCAACAACAATGATGAAAATAAATGAATAAAAGAGAAATACCAAACAAAATGTTAGAAAAACTCTAAAATTTAAAATTTGTCATGACATTAGCATAACAATCATAAATTTACTTCTATTAGTGTCATAACAAACATAAATTTATAACTTCCATATTTATATTTGAGATAAAATAAGCGTTAAAAAACTAAAATATCATATGTAAATTTTTTTATGTTAGTATTCCCTTTTTCACTCTCATTTAAGACAAAATAACGTCCTCTTTCTCCTAAGAATTGATTTAGCGAAAAAAAAAATAGACCCACATAATAAGGTAGAACTCAAAATACAATGGTGTGAATTTAATCCAAAATATTAATAGCTTTTCCTTTTACATTATATAATCTTATTTTACTACATTTTCAATCTTGAAATAAATTAAACTTGACAAATTTGTTAAAATGTATCAAAATTTGAATCATTCGTGTGTGTATATATAACAAATTATTAAATGTGATATAATAATTATATTTTATTAATTAATTTATTAAAATAATTTAATTAATTAAATTATAGTTAAAAAGTATATATATTTTGAAATGTTTATTGTGTAAAAATTATAAATAATATTTTAATTTATTGAGAGATTAAATTAAGATATTAAAATTTAAAGGAAAGTAACTAACAATGTAAATACGTACCTTATTCTTGTTACTTTCTTTTTTATTGTTCATTAATTTTGTGTTTATGAATTCATATTGTAGCAAAATTACATTAGTTAGTTATTTGTAATGAAATTTTATATCTAGTTATAGAATATAAAATGAGAGAAATGAATGAAATTAAAAGTTAGAATCCATAATACTAAATAAAAAATATGAGTTGAATAGAGAAATACAAAGAATAGGTCACATTGATTCTGGACGATGAGAAATCAATTTCACACTCACGTTTTCGGAATTCCAAAGACTTCCAGAAATATCAGCCAAACATACAGACTTCCAAAAATTTCACTATCAGACTTAAAGGAAAAAAACGATAGACAAGAAGAGTAAACTAAAACTAAAAAAGATAAAACAAAATCGAAAAGTAACGAAAACAATTATTACAATTAACATAAAATAACATATTTTAATGGTTTAATATAATCAAAGAAAACAAACTGCTAATAAAAATAGAGGTGTCAAAATGAGTAATTCGATTTGGTCTGATCCACCACGAGTTGATCACTTAGTGAATTAACCCAATCCGGCTAATTTATTAATGAGCTGAAAAAATTCAAACCCGCTCAACCTAAATGGGTTGGTTCACTAACTCACTTAATTATAAGTTTTTTTTAAAATAAAAAAATTATAATTTTTTTAATTTAAATATTAATAAATTTCACTTTAAAATGAAATTAAATTCCAAAGACAATTAAAAATAATAAAAAATATATAATACAATCCAAACGTAATCCAAAAACAAACATAAAAGATGAACAAATAAGTCTTTAATATTGATAATTTTTGTATAACTTGTCCATTTATAATATTGATAAGTTATAATATTGTT